GCCACCCATGAGTTGCAGTGGCACTCCCCACCATGTCCCTTTGCACCCCAGCCCTTCCTCCTGCCCAAGAAGGGGCCAAGGGCAGACCCCTGCTGGGGACCCTCCCTAGCTCAGAGATGCCTGTCCTGCCACCATGCGTGTGGCTACCCCCACCCCTTGTGCACCTGGGCAGCCAGCTAATGCAGGCCACCTCCATTCCTACCTGTCCTCTTCTCTGGCCACGGCAGAGAGTGCTCCAGCAGGGACTTGAGGACCTCAGGCATGTCCATGGCAGGGGCCACTCCGATCCGGTCACAGCTAGACATGGCCCTGCAGGACGTGCTTGCTCCAGGAGTTTAGAAGCAGCTGGAGAGGCAGGAGCTGGCTGGGGAACCGCAGGCTCTGGAGGCAGGCGGGGCGGGAGCCTGAGGCAGCCAATGGGCAGCCCAGGTCCCGGCCCGCCCGTCCACCCCCAGCCCGGCCACCTGCCAGCTCAGGCTGCAGCCAGGCCTTCCCTTCCCACTGCCTGGCAGGGCGGACCTGGCGCTGTGCCAGCGGCAGCACGTGGAGCCGCTGCGCCAATCCTCTGACAGAGAGCCCAGCCTGTTATCTAACTTTGCAAAGGGAAGTTCTCCACCAGGCTGGGAGCCATAACTGGGGCCTGCCAGGTGAGAACAGTGAGATGGCTCCATGCCCACAGTGAGCGTGCACTGCACACTCAGGGACGCTCAGTGGAGGAACCCTAGAGGCCAGGCGCAGCAGAGAGCAGGGCCCTCCAGGAAACCAGCTTGGGCTGGGACCTGAGATCCCGGCACCCCAGGCAGCTCGGTACAAAGGATATATACTCCGTGTTGGCACACCCAGGCACGTGAGGGGCATCACGCATTCACTTGAGAGCCTGTGAGCCTCAAGGGGTTGTTGGCATGTTTTGATGCTGATGTCTATATACTACGCACATGTGCCCTGCAAGGCACACGGGCGTGCATGTGGTATGCATTAATTGGGGCTTTATACCACCTGCAGAGCCTGAAGCCTGCTCTCCTAAGGGGAGTGACACAACCTGCATGCAGCCTGGGGTTCCTTTGGTCTTCTGGGGAAGGGGGAAGAGGTGGGTGCCCAGCAGACAAATGCTGGGAGGGCAGGCAGATCAGGCACCCCTGAAAGGGGGCGGCTCCGAAAACCTGGCTCAGGCTTGTCTTGGAGGATGTCCTGCTTCCCAGCCTGTCTCGGGGACTTTTGTGGCAATTGGCTGTTTGCGGTAGTCCCCTCCCTGGCCCTCTCACCAGGACACTGGCCTCTGTGGTCCCCAGGCCACTTGAACGTGTGGTTGAAGCCAAGGTTCTGCATGTCACCCCCCACCGAAGACCAACATCAGACTTGGCCGGGGGGCTGTCAGGCTCTCAGTTCTGCCACACACCAATGTGGGATCTTGAACAAGCTGTGCAGCTCTTCTGGGTCTCAGTTCCAAAACAACTGAATGTTGTGACCTCTGAGGTTCCTTTCAGCTCTCATTCTATGTCTCTGATGCTCCAGGTTGGATGCAATAAGCATTTGGTTCCCTGCACTGTAGCTGATTTCTATGCAGTCTTTCGCTGCTTTCCAAAATTCTGTTTTGCACAGAATCAAAAATACTCCAAAGCGGCCGGCCCGGTGGCACAAGCCATTAAGTGCGTGCGCTCTGCTGAGGCGGCCCGGGGTTCGCTGGTTCGGATCCCGGGCGCGCACCGATGCACCGCTTGTCAAGCCATGCTGTGGCGGCGTCCCATATAAAGTGGAGGAAGATGGGTACGGACGTTAGCCCAGGGCCAGTCTTCCGCAGCAAAAAAAAAAAAAAAGGAGGATTGGCAGATGTTAGCTCAGGGCTGATCTTCCTCACAAAAAAAAAGAAAAAAAAAACACTCTAGGAACCCCTTCTGGCCCCTCCCCTTCCCAATAGCCTAGCTTGTCCTCTAATTACCCTCCCTTCCTCCCTAATAGCCCACTCCAAACCATGTTCTTTCCTCAAATTAATTAAAAATTAATTTCAATTTAGAATACAAAAAACCATATATGGCTCAAAGCTCCAAACTTTTGATAAAGATATACTTTAGAAATGTCACTTCTACCTATCCCTGTCCCCTCTCCCCATTCCCCTTCCTAATAACACATCTGGTTTCTTTTTTTTTTTTTTGTGACGAGATCAGCCCTGAGCTAACATCTGCCAATCTTCCTCTTTTTTTTTTTGCTGAGGAAGACGGCCCTGGGCTAACATCTGTGCCCATCTTCCTCCACTTTATATGGGACGCCGGCACAGCATGGCTTGCCAAGCAGTGCGTCAGTGCGCGCCCGGGATCCGAACCAGCGAACCCCGGGCCGCCGCAGTGGAGCGCGCGCCCTTAACCGCTTGCGCCACCGGGCCGGCCCCTGGTTTCTTATTTATCCTTCCAGTGCCCTTTGCCTCTGGACCCCGGGGGTAGGGGTGCGGTGGGCCTGGTGTGCAGGCAGCCTTGAGTGGACCTGTAATTTGCAGTCTGGGGCTGACTGAGGCTGGGCTGGTGCATTAACCATTCCTCGGCCCAGGAACCCTCTTGTGTGCAAGACTGGCCTACCACAAAGGTGGGGTGGGTAGGTGCAGAGCATGATTTCAGAGGCAACAGGAATTACCCTACAGGTCTCAAAAATACCCACCTGCTGCATGACATTTCATTCTCAGAGATTCATTCCTGTGAGCACTCTGCAGACCCCTTACAATGTACAAACGTACTCAGCCTCTAAGACTGTGAATGAGTACTTACTGCGTACCTGGCACCAGCCTAGACCTTGTGAAGAATTCCAAGTTGAATAACAAACCTGGCCGGGCAAGTCCCTACCCTGAGGGAATTTTTATGCCACTGAAGGTCAGTCCACGTGGCACCCCCACTCTGCACCAGGGTGTCCAGCTGGCAGCATCACCTGTGGTCACACAGGGGCCACATCAGCAGGTTGCTGGGCAAACAGCTGGGGAGAGCAGAGGTAGGCAGCATGGAGGCCACATACAAGCCTGGAGACATCTGGGGGGCGCCGCATGGCAGGCGTGGTGGGATTGTCTGCTCTTCTTGGGTTTCCTGACTCGGAAGTCTGATGTCCGCTGTAGATGGCTCCCCTGGTGAGGGGTACATGTGGATGCATTTCTGGCAGAACTCTCAAGGGCTTTCTCTAGAGAGCTGCAGAGCTGCCCCCATCCCCACCCCCGCCTGCAGGGCCCTGACAGTCACCGCCCCCTGCCCAGGCGGCCTCTCCTTGGAAGCATCTTCCCCAGAGGCAGGGAGGAGCCCGCTGGGGCACTGTGGTGGCGGTGGTGGTGCTCACTGCGGCCCCTACTCACAGGCCCAAAGACCAGAACCGGGCTTGCATTCAATAGCTGGGGGCTGCTCAAGTCAGCTCTGGCCCCTTGATGGATAAAGTCTCAGCCACTGACGGTAAACATCTAGGGCGTGGAGACGCACACGTGAAATACAATTGAGAGAAAAACTTGCAGAACGGTAAGTGCACATTGATTACAATGATACAATCTTTTTAAGCCTCAATTCCAGTTTTACCTTCTCCAGGAAGCCCTCCTGGCTCCCCAGCCTGGATGAGGTGCCTTACCTGGCACCTGGAGTGTCTCCCACCACTGCACTTGTCACATCAGCCTACACTCTTCCATGTAGGGCCGTCCCCCCGGCAGACTGTGGATTCAAGGGAAGCCATGTTTCTTCAGTAATCTTGTATCCCCAGGATCTGAGATGCAGTGGGTTCTCAGTTAATGCTTAGCAACTGAACCAAATGAGGACCAGAAGAGAACGTAGAGGAATTTATGAGAATTTAAGAATTTAGTCCACGAGGTTCACCGAAGTCCTGTTTATCTCTGATTTTCTGAGTTCAAGGGAGGTGCTGATGCAGGCTCGTGATCCCTCCTGCCTGAGGAGGGGTCTGCATTCTTCTCTCAGGCACTGTACCTTGCCACGCCACTTTGCTTGTCCACGGTGCAGGCAGGGGTGCTGAGAACCCCAGAACGTCAGCGCTGGAGGGACCTTTGCCGATCGCCTAGGGCCCAGTGGTTCTTGATCTTTTTTCTACCTCCTTTCTGAGGGTCTTTGGAACCTTCGCTGAACCTCTGGGCTCTAAGATGTGGACACCAAACATGCACGGTCGCTGTGGAGAACAGACACGCTGTATCCACAGGGCCACGCGCAGAAGCTCCCAATCAGGTTGGCTGCTTCTCTTACTCATCTGGTCATTTTTCAAGCATCAGAACCCCTACTGCATACCTGGCCCAAATGATTCCCCAGCCTCAGAGAATTCACAGGCTTGGACCTCTGTTCCTGGAGCCTCCCCACCCTGCAGTTTACAGCTGTCTGGTGAGAGCCTGCCTTTGCACATGTGCAGCCCCTCCCATCAGGACCCCCCTCCATCACCTGCGACCACGAACAATCCAAGAGATTTGAAAAAGTACCTCCCACCCCAGCAGATGCAGGTGCCCCCGACTGAGAATTCCCGGCCTAATACACTCTCTCTTTTTAAAGACGAGGAAGCTAGGCCTGTGTGACTTGGCTCTCCCCTGGGCCCAGAGGAGTCTGGGTTGCAGTTGGGATCATATTCCAAAGCATGGCACGGCCCCTCACCTTTCTGGAAAAGCCACCCCCACAAAGGGCACAGAGCCAGCCCTCTGGAACCTGGGTCGGTGCACGTGGTAAAAGTTGGGAGGTGTGGGTACCGCTGGAAAGCCCCACGCAGAAGGCTGGGAGCAGGCAGGCTGCGGAAGAGCCAGCAGAGGGTGGCTCCTGGGGCCACTTGTGCAGAGCACAGCTTGTCCCTGCCAGCTGAGGTGCTGCCTGAGCTGGGTCAGCTGGGCTGCTCTGTTTATACAGGGACACGGACCTTCCGCCCCTCACCCCTTGGAATGTCTGCCTTGAGGCATGCCCAGCGGCAGCCAGCTCTGCTCCATGAGTACAGAGCCGCCCAGGCCCCCGGGCACAAGTGCCAGGCAAGGAGGAACAGGAGCGACACCTCGGGGACAGAGGTCAAAGTGCACACGTTTATTTTCTAGAACAAAGGCTAAAAGAGGCAAGTTTCTTTCATTTTATTTTAAGAAGGACAAAAATTGTTATTAAAACATCTACATTATTATCAAGATACTAGACCTTATGCATATTTAATATTAAAGTGTGGTATTCTTAAATTTTTAATACACAGACATTTTAAAAGGACCATTAAATTGATTACTGCCCAGCTGAGAAATGCAGCATCCCTCTTTGCCCCACCCCAAAGGGACATTCACATCAGGGGCACCTGCTGCCCATCACCATATTCACCATGACGTCTTGTCCCTGCCTGCTGGCAGTGGGGACAGGCTCCTGATTCAATTCTCTGAGCCTCCTGGCAGGGTCACTACTGAAATAATCACCCTTGTCATCAAAGTATACTCCTATCCCTGCCACCCTACTCCTTGCTTCTCAGTCTCTTCCCAGCCCAGGGATCCAGCCTGGCCAGGCCAGGGAGCCCCAGACCCCAAGGGCCCCTGGACGGATTACACATTGAAGAAGAAATATCTGGACTCTAATCCTATTCCTTTGGGTGGGAGACAAACACTGATCATTTTCTTCCCTGAGCACTCCTGCTCTCTCCCCGCTGGGCTGGGGTGGTCTGGAACCCATCAGGCAGAGCTGGGCCCAGGCGGGGCCCCTTCTGCGCCTGCTGCCCAGATCACCTCCAACCCATGGCTCCAGTTTCTGAATCCTTGCAAATGGCCTGATGACCCTGAAAATTCCTCCTAATTACACTAGGATGACTGCATTTTCCTGCCAAATTCTTTATCTGTAGCCCTCATTAGAAGTGATTCCTCGGATACCACACACATATATAATATTATATAGAGCGATATATTTAATACCTGTGTATATATGCATCACGGGGGCGACATATATACACACTAAAAACAAGGCTGGTGACAGACTGCAACACCACGGATCAGGGAAACAAGTGTCATCAACATTCACGGCCACAGCCCCCACCTTGGGTGTGGTCTCTCCTCCCCTCCAGCCAGGCCACCAGCACCCAAACTGCAGTGCTGGCCTGCTGGGGGAAGGGGGCAGGGAGAGGAAAAGATGCATGCCACAATTATCGGGAAAAGGGCAGGCAGTGGCGACAAGAGGAACAGTGTTCCCTGCAGCCCTGGCGCCCGTCATCACATCATCGCACACTATCAATCCTTGCTGGAGGAGAAATAAGGGGCATTCCATTCTCTCTGTTCCATTCTCACCCCCTCCCCTGACTCCAGCCGTGGTCCCCAGTTCCTTCCGGGGGTCCCCACCATTGTGCCAATGGTGTGGGGCATTCTGGAATGTCTAGGGAACCAGGGGAGGCTGGTCTGCCCACAGCGGGTGGGATGGAGAGGACGGGGTGCACGCAGACGCTTCAGATGAGAGGGATGAGAGAGGGTTTGGTGGGTGGAGGCAAGGACTGGGGGTCAGCTAGGGTCCCAGGCAGCTGGCAGGGCTGGGGATCAGGGAGGGGCTGGGACAGACGGTCATAATTGTATGTCCGGGTCTAGGGGAGAAGGGGGAGAGGACCATGCTGGGTTCCCAGGAAAGAAGGGCTGTGTCCGATCCTGGAATGGCCCATGGTGCCCAGGGTCAAGTCTCCCTTCTCTCCATGTCCCCCAACCACCACCCTGCCCTCCCCCAGCACCTCATGCAGAACCTGAGCCCATGGGTGCCCTGCCTGTTACCACCTTGCCCAAAGCAGGCATGGGGAAGTAACCTTTGCTGCTATACTCCCTACAACCATCCTCAGGAGGGGACTGTCCCTAATAGGGTGCTGAAAGACCAACCCCTGAGCCTCCCTTCCCCAGCCCCTGGTTGGCGCTGCCCGGGACTCTGGCTGCACACGGATTCAGAGACTGTCACATCTCTGCCCAGAGCCCGGAGGCGCCTGTCGATAACCGGCCTTGAGTCTTCTGACCACATTTTGCATCCCAGCTCTACCTCATGCCATGGGCTGGAAACCCCGGGCAAATCACTCCTCCCTTCTAGGCCTCAGTGTTCCTATCTGCAAAATGGGGGTTTGGGCTGGGTCATCACCAAAGGCTCTGAGGATCTACCGTCTACATTCAGTGGCCCATGAGGGAGAGGGGCTGGGCTGGTAGCCTCACTAGAGACAGCCAGACTCCAGAGTCAGCTCCAGAGATGATCCAGCCCAGCCCCTCCCACTCTTCCAACCAGAGGGGAAATTGAGGCCCAAAGGGGAATTGACCAGTACAATGTTTCCAGCTCCATCCTGGGGGCGCATTTTAAAGCTATTGGGGCCTCCTGCCCTCTGCTGTGTCCTAATCTGCCCCCAGGGAGGTGGGGGTAGGGTGAGGGTGGAACAGGGAGAAGGCCCTCCTGCTGCAGGTTCAAGTGGGGACCCCACGCCCCGCAGCCCTGAGCTTTGGGCCCCCTTTAGGAGCAGACAGAAGTTAAAGCTGTAGGCTGAAGCCGGAGGGGTCAGCCAGGCCCCTCCCTCTCCAACCAGGAGAGCCGAAGGCGGGGATTGGGGGAGGGTCTGCCCAGGGTTTCAGCCAGAGGAGGACCCTGGGACTGCTTGGGACTGCAGCTGGTGCACCTGGGTATGCATACTGGAGCGGTGGGGGCAGAGAGGATGGACAGGGCTCCAGGGGGCTGGGGGCTGCCTGACGAGGGCGGCCCCCCACCCCCAGCCCTGGCCCGCCCTGGCCCTTCCGTCAGTCCCTCGGTCCCCACCCCCACCCGACCCTGGAATTTCACCCATGGCCAAGACCTGGCCCTACTCCCCCGTGACGGTGGCAGCAGCAGGGGCTTCTGGGGCGGCACCAGCGGTGTTCCTGTCCTCTTGCAGCAGGAAGTTGTATTTGCCGAAGTCGTCGTCCCGCGGGCAAAGAAGCATGTCCTTGCGGGCCTTGGCCAGCTTCTGCTTCAGCACCTCGCGCCGGTCCAGCCACTCACTGAGCTCCTCCTGCCCGTGAGCGCAGCGGCACTTGTCCCCGTCTGGGCAGGCCTTGCCCTTCTGGAGCCTGTGGGCGGCAGGAGGCTCACTGCCCAGCCCTGTGCCCTTCCCACCACGGCTGCTGGACTTGGGGACGGCCGCTTAACACCCCCCAAGACAAGCCTGTCCCCAGGCAGCTTCAGTCCCGGTAGAAGCTGGCATGTCCTGGCCTTCTCCAGGACTGACCCAGGGCTGCAAAGTAGGGGTCTGGGCAGGTCTGAGCCTCCCTCCAATCCTACCCCGCCCCCATGCCCTCACATCCGGGAGCAGCTGTTTCTGGACACACCTTGCCCTGCATGCCATCTCCAGGCCAAGAGGAGCCAGAGCTAGCCATGCCTCCATCTCCTCAGGCCCCCCAACATGTCCACCCACAGCCTGCCAGGCCCGTCCCATGGCCCTGCCCGCCCGGGAGCACCTGTCGCAGAGCCGGAACTCGCCCATGGGGAAGCGGTAGGCCCAGCCGCTCGCGTCGCTGTCGGACGTGAAGACCTTCTCCTTGTGCTTCTCAGATTGGATGTGCTGCTGCCACTGCTTCTTGCTGTTGCTGTTCTTGCCGCAGAGCCAGCAGTGGTAGCCCATCTGGGGGCACAGCCACCATGGGTGCCCGCTCCCACACCTCTGCCGGCACCACGTGCCCCAGGGAGGCTGAGCCCCTCCCCGAGGCCCCTCCAGGTCCGGCTCAGACCCGGCCCCCAGCGTGTGTGGGGCATTACCATGATGTCGGCGTAGTCCGTGGGCATCTGGATCTGCTTCTCCCCTTCCCGAGAGCTGATGGGGGTCCCTTCCCCTGGCTTCCCTGGGTTGTGTTTCTTCAGCCACATGTCATAGGTCTGCTGCATGTCCAGGACTGGTGGGAAATAGGGGACAGAGTGCCCAGTGAGAAGGGATTCTCCATCCATTCTGCCCCATGACCCCTGCTGGCCTTGGGAGCCGGGGGTATCCTAGGCCCTGTGCTGGGCTGTCCAGTCAACTGCAGACAACCTAGAGGGCGTGGCCTGTGCGATGGGGAAGGCCCGGACGGCAAGGGGGTATGGCAGGGGCACTCGGGCCTGCCGATAAGTCTGGGTGCCCGGCAATGAGGGGAGCCCCGGCCAGGTCCCACCCCACCCGGGCTGCCCACTCACTCTTGTTCTCCTTCATGAACGTCCACATGTCCCTCTCCTCTGGGCTGTGTGCGAAGGAACAGTTCCCCACGTACTGGCACTTGCGGCCGTTCTGCGCGTGGATGCAGAGCTGTGGGCAGTTGTGGGGGGGGGGGGGCCCTGCTGAGTCAGCTGGATTGTGTCCCTGCCCCATGGGCCCCACACCCGAGGTCCAACCGCCACCTGAACCCGACCCCGGCACTCACATCGTATTGCTGTGGGAAGTTGCGAATGGATGGCAGTGGCCTCACTGACACCCATTTCCTCTTGGCCTTGGACATCACCAGAAGGACCCGCCGCTCCTTGGTCCAGCTGCAGGACAGAGCAGGGGGCCAGTCGGGGAGTGCTCAGGGCAGAGCCCAAGCTGTGTGACCTCCACAGAGAGCCCCGGCCTCTTCACTGTGGTGCTCAGTGGGGTCCCGCCCCGCCCGCGCCCCCGCCTGGCCCCACTCACCAGTGCCGCGCCTTGGCACTGCAGTACTTGAGGTCTTTGTCAGGCTCCACCACCTGCCCGTTCCTCCAGCACTGGCCGCACACAAACTTCATCTGCAGGTCAAAGGTGCTGGGCCCATGCGTCCGCGGGGCACCCTGTGGGCAAGAGGAGCTGGTAAAGCCGCAGGCACCAGGGCTTAGGGGTCCGTCATGCAGGTGGCCTCTGGGAGCGTTAGGGCTGCCCAGAGCCCTGGAACAGGTGGGTCCATTACCACTTTCCAGCAGGAAGTGACCCCTCAACTCCAGGCCCCATGGCGTCTCAGTGTGGGAGCCAGACCTGGGACGGGGCTCCTGACTCCTGATCAAGTGCTCTCCGCCTTATCTGGGTAGTCCCCACGGGCCTGCACTGTAGAACTGCTGGCATTTCCCTGGACACAGCATGTGACCTCATACCTCCCTGCTGTTGCACATGCTGTTCCCTCTCCCTAGAATGCCCCTCCTCTGTTCTTCATCAGGCTTGTTCTAGAAACTTTCAAAATTTAGCTCAAGTACCACCTCCTCCAGAAAGCCTTCTCTGGAGCTCTCCTAAGTAGCAGCTGCCCATCCTATGAGCTCCCATAGTACCTGAACTACCTGATGTTGATAGACTCATCTAGTTATGAGGGCTGGGCCTGGTGGAGAGCAGGGCCAAAAAGGTGGGAAGCCACTTTCAGGGAGTGGGGCTGGAAGAGGCTGCCTGGGACGATGGGACAGACCTCTGGGCAGCCCTGGACTTTCTAAGACCCCACCATGTTCATTCCCCATCCTCTGCCCCAGCCTCTCCTTTGCAGGCAGGAGGGCATGCTCTTCTGCACCCCTGGGATAGGGTGGGGGTGAGAGGTGGGAAAAGTGCCCACTCAGCCTATCTCCTGCCACCTTCACCCCCCTCATCCAGCTATGTTGGCTAACCTGCTGTCCCTCCCATTAGCTGGAGCATCCCCGTCCTCCCTGGAGCCTCAGATGTGGGGTCACCCTCTGGACAGCCCTCTCTCCTCCAGGTTGGGGGGGTCCGTGTCCCCTGCCATGGGAGCACCCCTGTGTCCCTGGCACTGCCTGGCCCAGGGCTTGCCCTGGAGCAGGAAGGGGCTCTGTCCTTGCTGCTTGTTGACTGATCCTGGCCTGGTGCTAGGGGACTGGCAGCCTGGCTCAGCTTCAGGTCAACAAACACATCATCCCCAAAACGAGGTAGAATCGCGCCTTTGTAACCAGGACACGGCCTGTGCTAAAGCGGGCAGGAGGTGTGTCCACATCACTCCTGATTTTTAGGTGTTCCACTGGATTCCCACAGAAGCGTGAGAGGACACATGTCACAGTTGAGGGAAGTGGGGCCCAGAGGGGCTTCACCATGCCAGTTCACTGAACTTCCCTTTTCACAACCGCACAGTTTCCTGGCTCCTCGCCGCAGCCCTGGGGGCAGACGGGATAATTCCCATTTGACTGAGCAGAAACAGAGGCTCACACAGGTTGCTAACCCACCCCCGAGTAAGTGGCCTGAAGACAGGGACCTGGCGTGAGGCAGGTGCTCGTGCTTCTTTGTGGGATGGCACAGCTGCGCCATGGGCATGGGCCAGAGCAGCTTTTTCCCTGGCATTCCATGCTCGGCCTCACAATGCCACGGGCCCCGCCCTCTGAGGGCAGGCAAGCAAGACACCTCATGCCTGGGCCATGGCCAGGCCTGGCACAGAAGCCCTGTTCCTGCACCAGGCCCGAGAGTGGCATTTTGGCTAGGCAGAGGGGGCCCCTGGCAGCAAGAGGGGGTTGAAGCCCGTCACGGCACCCTCAGGCAGCTAGGCCTGCACCCGTTCCCGGGGACCCCAGCAGCAGCCCTGGGCAGGATGAGGGGGGCTCACAGGGATAAGAGGTGGCGAGGACTCAGTGTTCTCTCTTTAGAAGATGACAGTGCAGGTCCAGCCTGAGCCCCTCACTGCTTCCCAGACCGGCTCCTGGCCAGGAGCAAAAATAAACCACAAAGGGGGGAGAGAGAGGGAAAAAAAGGACAGGAGAGGGACAGAGAACAACCAGGAACGAAGGGACCAGGGAGACAGAGGGAAGACCCAAGCGGGCTGGGCAGCCCTGGGGACAGCCTGGCCATGGCCCACCCCACCAGCCAGCCTGCCCTGCTTCCTGGCTCACTGCCACACCCAGGTTGGCCTCAGGAGGGCCAGGGCCCAGCCTTCTCCCAAGTTGATCAGTGGCTGGGACCAGCATGGTGAAGGGTCGTTCCTCACGTGTGGAGGGCACGGAGGCCTCACTTCCCACTCACTGTCTCCTGGGCCCTGAGACTATCCCTTCTGTCCCCACTGTCATCTAAGCTTACAATGATCCCTACCTCCTGGGGAGGGTATGAGGATCAGCAATGGCAGGGGGCAGCTCCTGTGAGCCTCACACCCACCCTGGGAGACGGCAGGCAGGATTATGATCCCCATGGTATGGATGAGGAAGCCTCGGGGGTGACGGGAATGGTGCTGGGAATGGTGCAAGGTAGGGAGGGAGCAGAGCGAGCTCTAGACAAGATGTCAAAGAACCTGGGATTTACTCCCCTAAGTGTACTCCTGGGCAAGTCTCTAGCATGCTCTGAGCCTCAGTTTCCCCATCTGCAAATGCCACAAAGTGACAGCTCACTTCTTCAGGACCAGGGTGAGGATCCAGAGGGATGGGAGATGATACAATCAGCAGGTGAAAAGTTTGAGAAATACCAAGATATTTACATGGTCTCAAAGTATCTCCCCAGAAGATATTTATTAATTACAAAGAGGACAAATACAACTTTATAGGAGAGAAACCTTTACAGTGCAGGCACCTTTAATCAAGTTATTACCAGTAAAGGAACAAATCGAGATGATGTGCCTCCCAATGAGTGAATTGAGAAGAACATATCATCTCTGTGGTTTGAGGAACCATCAGACAATCCCAAATGGATGGCCTTTTACAAAACAACTGGCTCTTCAAAAACGTCAATGTCATGAAAGACAGAAACTGAGGAACTACTCTAGATGAAAGGAGACTAAAGAGACACAATAAATGAATGCAGTGTGTTACCTGGGATTTGGGGACAATTCACAAAATCTGAGTAGTACACCATAATCTGAATAATTACACCAATGTTCATTTTGTGATGTTGATAATTACATTGTGGTTATTATGTAAGAGAGTCTCCTTATTTTTAGGAAATACACACTGAAGTAAATATTTAGGGGTAATGGGGCATCCTGTCTGCAACTTACTCTCAAATGGTTCAGAAAAAAGTGTGTATATTTCTGTATGTGAGTGTGGAATGTGGTAAAATGTTAATATCTGGGGAAGCCAGAAAAGGGTACACATGAATTCTTTGTACACTTCTTACAATTTGCTCATAAGTCTGAAAATTATGTCTGAGTAAAGGTTTGGGGGACGGCCCTCGTGGGGCCTGATCCCACCCCCAGTGCCAAGCCGGGGCCTTACCAAGCTGCTGCTGGCCTTCCCTGCATGGGCCTCCATCTGCTGCCAGTATTTCTTGGATTCCTGGACAATGTCTTCGTGGGTCATGCCTGGGGAGGGCAGGAACGGACATGGGTGTCCCTGAAGGGGCTCAGCAAGGAGAAAGGCAAGGGATCTGTGACGGGCCAGTGCCACCCTCAGGCCCAGGCAGAGGAGCCCCATCCCCCAGTAAGGTCCTGCCACGGAAAGCTGTGGGGGTTCAGGGAAACCACTCATCCTCTCTGGGCCTGTTGTTGATCTGCAACTGGGGACAGAGGCCTGCTCCAAGCCCTCACAGGGACTGAGAGGAGAAAACGTAGCCAAGGGTAGGAAAACGCAGGAGAATGACGTCGGCTCTGCAGCATGGCATGGTGACCCCTGCCCCCAGGTCAGTGCCCCTGTCTCTTCCTTAACCCCTACCTCTTTTAGTGGGGCCTCAAGCCTAACCCCCGCTTGGCAGCCGCTAGCCCTCCAGTTCTCGGGGCTCCATGCCTGGCCCAGCCCACCAGCCCATCACTGAGGGGCCACGGCTCTTCACTGCCAGCCGGCAAACAGCCAACACCCAAGCCTGGTGGCCTGGTCTGAGGGCTGACCCTGAGCGCACCCTCTGAGGTGCAGCTTGGAGCTTCCTCCATGAAGCTGCCCTCCTCCCAATCCCCTCCCCCTTCTAGTCCCTTTCCCAGAACTGATTTCGTTTTTGACCTTGTCCTAGGGATACTATTCCATGGCGGCTGCTCGTCATCAGGGCTTACTCTACGCCAGGCACTCTGCTTGACATCCATTTTTTTGCTGATTCCCAAATATGTGTGTCCAGCCCAGATCTCTCCTGTGAATTCCAGACTCCCACATCTGGCTGCCTGCCCATCTCCACTTCCAACAGGCAGCTCAGAACCCCCATGGTCCCCACTGAACCCTGATGTGACCCCTCAAACCTGTTCCTCCTTCAGCCTCTCCTTCCCAGAACATGGCAATGCCATTCCTCCAGTTACTCTGGTCAAAAACCTTGGAGTCGACCTTGACCTTGATCAACAACTCCTGTTGGCTCCACCATCAAAATCCACCCAGAATCTCATCACTCCTTCCACCTCCAACGCTGCCAGCCTGGTCTTCCTCCACCCGTCCCCGCCCCTCTATTCTCCACCCGGCAGCCAGAGCAACTTTTTAAAAATATTGATCAGATCATAAAACTCCACCCACATAAAACTTTCCAGACTCTGCACATCGTATTTAGAACAATCCCAACTATTTCTATTTATGACTTACAGACTTGTACACACTCCGGTCCCTGCCCACCTCTCAGGCCTCGTCTCTGACACGCCCCCTGCCCCACTCTGCCCGATGCACTAAGCTGCCCTGCCCTCACAGACAGTCTTTTTGTATCAAGCTTGCTCCTACCTCAAGGCCTCCAGCCTTGCTGTTCCCTCTGCCTGGAATACGCTTCCCACCCTTCCCTGCTCAAATGCCACCTCCTCAGAGAGGCCTCCTCTGACCATCTTACCCCAAATGCCCCTACCCTGAGTGCCTCTCCATCCTACTGCTCTGCTTTTCTTTCCTCCCAGCACTGGGGCACATCTGAAATTATATCACCCTATTTCATCCACTCGAGAGGACATCTATTGTGAGATGCACCATTATTTCATCTTACACACACACAGAAGAAATGCTGCTAATTCAATTATGACATGCAGTGGAGGAGAATGTGCATCTGAGAATAGATGGAGTACAGGATTTATTAACTACGTGTCATGCTGCCTGCCTTGGCCTCACTCACAGATATCAGATGTTCTCTGAGAGCAAGGACCTTGGGCAGGTCTTGCTCAGTCCCTGACACAGAGCAGGTGCTCAGTGAAACCCTGACTGATGAATGAATGAGCGAGTGAGTGAACAGCTTTCATTCTTCTTAACCCTGAGACAGAGATTACGATCGCCATTTCACAGATGAGCGAACGGAGGCTCAGCAAGGGGAAGTGACCTGCTGACGCCCACCCTGGAAGCCAGTGGAGCAGGAGCCCGGCTCTGCCTCCCTCTCCCTTCTCCATGCGTGCTCCTGGCAGTGCCCGCACAGGGATAAACCCAGGATCTTCCAGGCCTGGAAGCTCCCTGAGAGCAGAGCCTTTGCAACCTCTGTGACGTCTAGGGGTCTAGGAAGCACCGGCTCCTCCCCGGCAGCCCCTCCCCCAGTCACTGCCCTCCTCTGCACTCCTGAAGGTCCCTCCACCACCTCCATCGGCCCAGGCCCGACCCCCTTGGCCAGTTCCATGCCTCCCCTTCACCTGTGCCTGCCCGGCCGCGCACCTGAGTATTGCTGCAGCAGCCAGACCTTGAGCTCGATGAAGCTGTGCGCGAAGTGGCAGCTGTCCTCGCGCAGGCAGCCGTAGCGCACCTCGTGACGGCACACGTCGAACTGGAAGTGCTCCTGAAACTGGCGGATCTTGGAGTACTTGAGGGAGGTGGAGCGGACGATGTGCACCAGGCACCTGGCGGGCAGGGGGCGGGGGGCACCATGCGGTCTGCAGCCCCCAACCCTCCCCCACCACGCCTAGTAGGGCCACTCTCCCCCAGTGCCGGGCAAGCCTGAGGGGAGGTGCTTCTCCCGGGTGCCTCCTGCCCTGTTAACCGTTTCTAGAACCCGATGGCACAGTAGGTAAGAGGTGGGGGTCCTACACTCAGGCAGTCCTGGGTTTGAGTCCCAGCTGTGTGCCCTCCTCTGGCCTCAATCTGGGGCCAGCTCAAAGAAAGCTGCCAGCAGGAGGAGGGCACCAGGTCCCACTGGCCACGAGGCTGGGAGAAGGGAGTGTCCGTGGGTGGGAGAAGGGGCATTTCCCTCAGGTTCCCCAGCTTGATGCTCCAACACTGGTCCTGTACCCAGAGAAATACTAATCAAGCACCTCCTCTGGGCCAGGAATTTTAATTACCCTCACAGCAACCCTAGGAGATTGGGATCATCATCAACTTTACAGATGAGGAAACCAAGGGTCATAGTGGCCAGAAGACATCAAACAGGCCATTGCCCAGACTGGGATTTGGACCCCAGTCTGTCTGACTCCAGGGCCTGGACTCCATCATCCATACTGGGACAGAGCCAAGGGGAGTCAGAGGGAACAAAGGTGGGTCCAGGCCTGCCCCAGCCCCTCCCCGTCACTGTCTGACGCCGATGTCATGACAGTGGAGGGCATGAGACAGGAGTCAGGGATGTGGCCTCCCACTTGCCAGCTGAGTAAGCTACTTCCGAGCCTCGGCTTTCTCATCAGTACAAAAGACAGTAACTCCACCCTCACAGAACTGCAGAAATTATCATAATTCCAAGAGAAGCTTGGAATACAGTAGATGCTTAATAAATATGGTCCTGTCCGTTCCAGGTGGATTCTGGATCTGAGTCCCAAATTCTGCCCCTTGCCTTGACACCCCAGGTCTACCCTCTGGCCTCAGCTGCTCCCCAGGCATCTGAGCTGCCCCAGGGTGTCCCCTCCATGGCCCCCAGCCCCGGCCTGGGCTCAGGTCCCACTCACTTGTTGTTGTAGAAGCTGTGCTTGGCAGCCAAGTTGGAGCAGACAGATGGAGAGTCCTTGGTGCCTTTGCTGATGATCCGGGGTTTACTGTCAAAGCAGATCTGTCCAGGGAGAGGCTGGGCTGGGACCTGGCATGGCTACCAGGGAGGGACAGACTGGGTCCCTGCAAGCTCTGCTCTTCGTCGGGGGAGTGAGGAAGGGAATCCCAGGGTCTGCGGCCCCCGCCTCTCTGGCTCTAACTCACAGATGACCTGGGCCTTGGCTCTCTGATCCCATCACTCCACATGCCTGGGGCAGGGGTCACTCCATGTCTCTGAGCCTCAGTCTCCTCAACTGTAAATTGGGGATAACCACACCTGCTCTGTCCCATAGGTTCACTGTGAAGCTCAAAAAGGATATAATGGAACTGCAGGTGCTTTGTAAAGTACATGCAGCCACCTGGCTGTGAGTGAGTGGGCAGTCAGCCCTGAAGGGAGTGGGCAGTCCACCTGCTCCAAGAGTCAGAGGGAAGGGCTGACTGTGCAATGGATCAGGGTTGGGCTGAGCTGCACCAAACCCTGCCAGCAACCCGGACCCAGAGCTCTCAGTCCACGGAGATGGACCTGACATTGTCTCTGACCTCATCCCCCTGGGTGGGGAGGCAGGGGGCTGGCAGGGTCTTCTGTGACAGCTCTGGGGAGGGAACTGACAACAGCTTGGTGGAGCTGCTCGGATCACAGCTGAGCCTCAGAGGGCCTGGGAGGCCTCCAGAGACAGGGCACAGCCTGGACACGGGCAGGGAAGGGGGCAGGAAGGTGCAGTGGGCATTGAAGCCAGGCATAGCTGGAGGAGGCGTGGGGGCGTCGGGATGAGTAGAGCACCTGGCACTGAGCCTGGCCTGTGACGGCCGTAAGAGCAGGTGTGATTATTTCTCTGGCCTCAGTTCCTGCCTCTGCAAAACGAGGGGGGTGGATAGGATCTGGGCTCTCGCACCATAGGATCCTATGGGCCTAACTTTCTGACAGTCCAAGGACCTACTGATTCTAAGATCAGGCCTCCCAAACCCACAGGCTCCAGGACTGCCATTCCACCATGGAATATGCCACAGAGCCCCCTCCGCTGGCCCCATCTGTGCCATGGACTGTGGAGGTGACAGGTGGGGGCTGGGGGAGGGCGGGCAGGTACCTCACAGAGGAAAGTGAAGATGCCCTGGTGCTCCTTAAGGAGCTTGGCTATGGTGAGGCTGCCACGCTTGACGCCCCCCAGCGGGTCAAAGAGCAGGTCACGGTTGAGGGTGCCCTTCCGCTCCTCGGTCCACACGTCGATCTCCTCCTGATGGTAGGCGAAGGTGCAGTTATCCCCGTACTTACAGTCCTGCTTGTTAATCATGTCTGCAAAGAGGCAACAGGACACACGTTCCGCCAGGCGGGATGGCAGCCCGCAGCGCCCCCAGGCCCACCGCTGTGGCTGGAGGGGCCAGCCACCACCCGGCGGGGCTCGGGCTCATCTCCCACATGGTGGGGTGGTGGCCTGCTGACCTCGAGGACTTAAGAGAGGTGAACAGCAGAGTTTGGAGAAAGCCCTTCCCAGGCCAGGCCCCTTCTTTGCTCTACACCTGGGTGTGTGCGGGGGGTATCCGCATGTTCATCAGCAAAGCATGGCAGCCATCCCGGCTCCACCACCCCACGGGGCTGCCTTGTGCAGGTCAGGCAAGACGAGGGTGTGAAAAGGGCTTTGTGGAAGTATACAAGACTCTAAATAAACACAAAGGATTTTATTATTATTATTCACCAGGAAAATACCACTGGTTAAGGGTGGGGGCGTTGGAGTCCGGCAGACTCAGGCTGGATTCCTGTCATTTCTGAGCCTCAGCTGTCTGTCTCATACGCAAAGCACATGGGTTGTTATGGGGATTAAGTGAAATAACAAATAAAATTCCTGGGGGCCAGGGAGCTGGGAGGGCAGCAGGCTCACAACCCGGAGACCTGCCATTTCTCGGGGGTGAGAACTGTTTTTCTTTCTCTCGAGAGCCTCCCTCACACTCTTTCTAAACTGCCCCACCCCATCCCTCTGCCAGGCCACAGGTACACACGGCCGAGCGGGCCAGATGCCGGTGATCACCACAGACTGTTCTGTGTGTAACCAGCTCTGCACCCAGGGGAAGCCCTGCAGGGAAGGGCTCTGGAGATCCAGCCGCTGCCTGAGGAGGAGCAGAGGATGACCAAGTTAAAGGGCACAGCACGTGCAAAGGAGCCAGGGTTCAGTGTATTTGTGGAATGGTTAGGGCAGACTTATAGGCCTCGTAGAACTTGGACTTCATCCACACTGGCTGGGGAATGGCTGACAGAGGCCTTCAGGCCCAGCAGTGATAAGGCCTTAAGATCCTGCTGGGAGGACAAAGAGTTGGTCCAGAAAGCCTGGGTGGGCTGCTGCCACCAGCTGGGTTGGGGGACAGAGGCGGAGCCTGGGGAGGGCTCCTGAAGCCTCAGTTCCCTCACTCAGAGTTGTTGCGAGCATGGGTGATGGTGGGTACAAATGGGCAACACTATAAAGGGCCTCACAATATCACGACTGGACATGGATTGCCTTGTAGACTGCACCAAGACGCTTGGCTGGGGAACAGGTGAAAGCATATAAGGTACCTGACAAATGGCCGTTAAATATCGACCAAACTGACAGGAACCAGAAGTGAGGACAAGGACAACGGCATCATGATTTTTAAAAGCTAGTCTTTATCGAGCCCTTACTATGAGCCAGTTTTAAAGGCTTTACATGGATTCTCTCCACGTCCTTCCAACAGCCCTTTGGGACCTGCAGCAGTGACAGAAACTAGCTCTCCATGAACTGTCTGACCCTCACGCTGGAGAGCACAGGCCGCCATATGTAACATCCCGAATGTTCCCGCCAGTCTAGGGAGCTGGTCAGGGTAGGAGATGCTCACTCTGACGTGGGATTCATCCTCGGTGACCCACACCTGCGCTGTCTACCTCTGTCTCCCTGTGATGAGGAGCAGAGCAGCGGCTGGGCGAGAAGAGCTGGGCCCTGCTGTGTTGCCCGCCCCTGCCGCAGCCCACCCACCTTTGCACAGGTAGTAGGAGCCCACGAAGCTGGTCTTGGTGGGCCGGGGCCGGATCCGCTTCCAGGTCTGGTCCTCGGAGCTGCGGAGCCGGCCAAGCAGGATGTCCCGCTTGCATTTGTGCTCAAGGCCCTCACGGTAGGTGTAGTCGCCTGCCCTGGGGCCTGTGGGTACAGGGTGGATGGGGACTGTGATGCCGGAAGCAGAACTGAAGAGTGACAGCTAACGGGCCCAAGCAGTCGGAACTGGCCCCTCTGCCTGAAAACCTCCCTCCCTTGCCTGGGCTTCCCGCCAGCTCTGCCTTCTGCTCCCTGGAGACAGGGGGCCCGCGTTGAGCCAGTTCTCAGCTCCATAGCCTTTCCACCACCACCACGACTCTCCAGTGAGCCTGACCACGTCAGCGTTTCCCTACAACGAACTATGAAGACAGTACTTGACAGAGAGCAGGCCCCGACAAGAGCCTGCCCTCTCCTCCTGCTCCGGAATGGCACTGCCCAGATTTATTCTCCCTCTCCTTCCCCTTCCCTTTCTCTCTTTCCTGCTCCTCTCAAATCTTCTGACCAAGGGCCTCCTCTCCCCTGACAAAGGGGTGGGGCGATCTCCTCAAAGAGACCAAGAGGAAATGGCCCTTGTGGGGACCCCATGTGATCCAGCTGTGCCTGAACCAAGTGTATACCACTTCATGGGGTGTTAGTCTGCCTCCCCAAGGCAGGGGGCAACGGGCATGTGGACTGGGGAGGCAGTCTGTGGTCCATGCAAGGAAAAACTTCCTCATGGGCACAGCCACCCAACAAGATGGCATCCTGTTCCCCGCCCACAGGAGCTTTGGGGGGATGACTCTCAGTCATGACACGTATGTGGGGTGACACGTATGTGGCAGGGGGGACGACGGGGCAGTCCTGCAGTGGGTGGACGACAGCAACCAGATGACCTCTAAGGTCCTGTTAACTTCAACACCCCTGAGATGGAGAATTCTAGATGCTAAGACTTTTATTTTTTAATTTTTTATGAGGAAGATTAACCCTGAGCTAATACCCAATGCCAATCCTCCTCTTTTTGCCGAGGAAGATTGGCCCTGGGCTAACAACCGTGCTCATCTTCCTCTACTTTATATGAGACGCCGCCACAGCATGGCTTGACAAGCGGTGCATCGGTGTGCGCCGGGGATCTGAACCTGCGAACCCCGGGCTGCTGAAGCGGAGGGCGTGCACTTAACCACTATGCCACCGGGCCAGCCCGAAGATGCTAAGACTTTTAACCCTGGGATCCCAAGAGAATATCATTCTAAAACTTCAGGACTGTGGGATTCTGGCAAATGAGATGCTGTGAGTCTTAAGAGTCTAGAATTCTGAGATTCTAGGTGTGCTGAAAATTGTCTACCAACATTGGGCATCTATTCTGAACTGCTTCTATAGTCCCCTTGGATTCTGGGGGCTGGGAGCCTAGGAACTACATTTCCCAGACTCCTCTGCCAACTGAGTTCTGGGCAAGGGTTGAATTTACCAGTGAGATGCACTCAGGTGGGAGGTGGACCCAGAGGTGGAGTGTGGAGGCAGGTGCAGGCTGCATTTCCTCTGGTAGATGTGTTTTTGCAGCAGCCAGCTGGACTTGCCTTCCACGGGCAGGTACCAGCCTCCGGGCTGAGGGGCGGCCATGCTACTGGCCAGGAGTTCTGGCAGCCCCAACCTCTGCATGAGAGCAGCACCACCCAACTTCGGGTCCTTGCCTTGCGGAGGAGTAGCCTACAGGCCCAGCGGAGCCTCCTGGCTTCCACTCCTCCAGCCTTTCCAGCAGTTTTGAAAGCCCCCAACTCTCATGCTATGTCCCTATCTGCTCAAAATACCTGGAGGGGATTCTGTTTGCCCACTTATCTCTGACTGGAACACTAGGATTCTGTCTTTCTGGGATTCTATGCTCCTGAGATTCCTGGCATCTCTGGGCAGAGGGGTGCAGTACAAAGGGGTGACATTACCTGTTTTGGGGTAGCACAGCTGGCAGGCCTGCTTGAACTCGTGGGTGGCAGCCAAGGGGTTCTTGATCAGCAAGGCGGTGTTGGGCATGGAGGGCTCTGGCTGTGACAGGAGGAGGTTGGCCATCTTGGGCACTGGACGATGGCTGGAGCCACCTGGGCCAGCCTGGGCACCAGAGGTGGGGGGAGCTTTATGACCCCCCCATCCCACCCAAGAGCAGAACTGTAGCCCAGGACCTTCCCTCTTCCTCTACCCTCCCAGCCGGGGAAGCTCCTTGTAACATGAACCAAGAATCCAGAATATCAGGACCTAGTGGGGGTGCATGGGTGACAGTGATCTTGGCCCAGAACCTTTCCTTGGTTGAAAACCCAGTAGGAAAGCAGAGAAAGAGGAGTGGCCCAGACTGGGGCTTAGGTACATGCCCTCCCTCACCCACTATCTCCCAAGCCCCGAAGGCATCAGCAGATGGGGAAGAAGGCAAGACTCAGAGAGGTTTAGTGACTTCCCTGGAGCCACACAGCTAGTGTCTAGGCTGAGGCCAGAGTCAGGCCGCCTAACTTCTAGTCAAGTGCTCTCCTCAACTCAGAACCTGGCTGAGTCCCAAGACCAGGGATGTTACTAACCCTGGAGAAGTTACTTAACCCCTCTGAACCTCGATGTCCTCTTCTGTCAGACACGTGGCTCAGTTTGGAAAGGGTAGGAAGAGACCATCTCTGGCCCATCTGCTCTGAGGGGGCCCCTCCTTGGCTTCCTTGGGGGGTGCAGCACCTTATACCACACGGAGGGCTCACCCCCTACTCTGGAGCCCGCAACCACTTTCCTTCCACTCCCGGGAGGGCAGGAGGTGCCTGGTCACTCACCGAGGAGGCTGGTTTCTGAGTACTGCTGGAGGGACGATGGTCCTGTGAGTTGGTCTCCTCTGTAAGGAGAAGACACGGGGTCACGTGCCCTGCTCTGAAGGGCATGAGGGGCCCTCTGAGGACTGTTTACTGTGTATTTCCAACTTGGAGAAGCCGCCTAGGCCACACGTCCTCTCCTGTTTCTGCTGATCCTGACTCTACCCCACGGCCACTCCCGGGGACAGAGAAGTGTCCCAGCCTGAGCATGTCCACTCTGTGCTTACACCTTCCGCAGCCCCCGCTGCCCCTGGGAGGAAGCCCAAACTCCTCAGCCTGGCTCCCAGGATCTCTGAGACCAGCTTCAGGTCTGCAAGGCCCCCAACCAGCCCTCCCCTCTGACCAACGGCTCGGTTCATCTGCCAGCCCCTCCACCACAAAGGCCTGGGTCACACTGCTGCCTCTGCCCGCAGATGGCCTTCTCCTTCAACACCCCACTCAGCCATCACCTCCTCCAGGAAGTCTCCCTGGGCTCAGAGGCTGAGTAAAGCCGTCTGTGCTCCTGCAGCCCCATGAATCTCCCTCAGCCAGGAGCGCCTTGGGCTAGGTCTGACTGTCATAAAGCCAGTCCTGCAAGGGCCTAGATGGGTCTGTTTCCTCTCTGGGTCCCTGGGCCCCAGCTCAGAGTGGTGTTGACGGAACCCATAGCCTTGCATCCCTTCCCCCAGCCTCAGGATCATCCCTCTGGGACTCCACCAGCCTAGCAACCCCAGGGCCCAGAGAGAAAACCCACAGAGGCAGAGAGTACCAGACTGCAAGTCTGGAGTCCTGGACTGTCCCAGCCCTGCTGTTTGATCTTGCACAAGACACCCAGACCCTCACGAGCACTGCAGGAGACACAGCAACTCATAAGAAGTGGTCCCGGACCACGCAGGGGTGGAAGGGCCTGGACTTTGGCAAAACAGAGCTGTAATTCCAACTCCATTCTCCAGAGACTGGAGATGTAACAGCACTTTGCAAACTGTCAATGGGGTGGGGGATGAAGGTGCCACCGGGCCTCACCCATGAAGGAGTTGGGCTTGTCCAGAGAGCCACGAGTCGACGACCCAAAGCTGTCAAGGGCATCCAGCCGGGTCTCCGAGTACGGCAGCAGGTCCAGGGAGTCCAGTGCGGAGCCTGGGGGGTCGAGGGCATCCAGCACAGAGGCAGCCAGCTTCTTGGAGGGGTCCATGACAAGACCAAAGGAGGCAGGGGGCAGTGGGCTGGAAACAGGGATGGAGCCACCCACCACAGGTGGCAGCAGCGGGGTCCCGCCGGGGAACACGGGTATCAGCTGGGGCAACTCGCTGGGCACGCTGCTGCCGGGCAGGCCACCCTGGACCAGAGACTGAGAAGTGGGGAACGGAGGGAGGGGTTGGAGGAGAACTTGACCGCCAGGCCTGGGCATAATTGGGTACTGTGGGCCCCAGGCAAGCTGACCGCTCTGTGCCTCAGCCCCGACCTGTCCCACTGGGTGGAGCCAGGGATCTTTACAGTCCCTTCTGGTTGCACATTCTGTAGCTCCATGTTTCTATCCTGAGCACGTCCCTTCTCCTCCCAAGGCCTCCGTTTCCCCAACTGTGACATGGGATGGGGTCTCCCCCCGCCCCTCCGGGACATGAGGATGAACGTGATAGGGTCCCAGGTGGGAGAGGGATTCAGGGGAGCAGGAGGCAGCAGCATGGCTCACCAGTGAGTCCAGGAGGGTGTCCAGCTCTGGACCAAAGACGTCCCCGTCGGAGAAGTCGTCTAGGCTCTCGGTGCTGGGGAGGGCCCTGCTGCTGCTGTCCAGGGGGGCCAGCAGGTCCAGAACATGAGGGAACAGGGGCATCGTCGGGGTAGAGGGGAGGGGGGCCGGGGAGCCTCGCAGGTCCACATAGCACTCTGTGGATGGAGGGGTGGGCTCAGTAGCCGCAGGAAGGTCCTCATCCAACACCTTCCCGCCTTTCCTCAGCGCCTGCCAGGAAGGCCGCCTGTCCCGTTGGCCTGACCCCACTGGTGGAGGCTCCGTTGCAGTGCAGGAAGGCCACCGCCGTGCGGGAGAAGGTCCCTCAGTCCTACAATATCTCCCCGATGGGCCCGGCTCAGAGCCTGGATATCCCACCTCTGGGGTAAGCAAGGCCCTCTCGAAGGGCTTGAGTGGAGGACCAGCACTACCCCACTGTGAGACACCCCCGCCCTCCCAGGCGGGGGAGATGCGCTCTCCTTCCTAAGTGTTTTCCTAAACCCACTATTTTCTTTCATGCTTCAGGGAGTCCCCAGGGCAGAGGCTGGGAGGGGCTAGACTCGTCTGACTTTCCAGGGGTCTTGGGAAGGAGGGTCTGAGCCCTCCCTGGGGCCCCATCTCCACCCCGTCCCCTTGCATCAGGGACACTACCTGTTTCGATGTCATCTATAGACCCCAATCCATTGGAAGTTCCCTGTGGAGAGGAAGGACATGGCAGGTCAGGCAGACGTGGGCTGGGAAGGCCATGGTGCCCGGCACTCAGGGCCCCGGGCCCCTCCCCAAGTGACTTCTGCTGATATTAACCACAGGGCTGGACAGGCCAGGCTGGGAGGCAGGGGGGGTGGGGTCAGACAACCCTCCCATCTGCCCCTCATCCTCGCGGGAAGTGCCCTCTGAGCCTTGGTTTCCTCACCCGTCACAGGATAGGGGCCATACCCTGGGGAGGGTGGCAAGGGTTTTACCAAGTCCTCCACACATTGTGCCACACAATAGTTTACAGCTCAAAGACAAAAGTGCCACTCTCTGAATCACCAGTGTCCCCTTCCCCAATTACAGCCTCAGGCCAACAGGCCAGGTGGGATCCCACTGCTACCTGTGGACCTTCTGTTGGAGGAAAAGGCGGGTCGAGCTTGCTCTGTGGTCTTGCCAAGCTCCTCACCCTCTCTGGGCCTGTTTCCTAACTCATAAAGTGAGGATGACGCAGTCATCCACCTCCCAGGACTGTTATAAGGATGAAATCACCTGACATTTGTACAGAGCTTAGAACAGTGCCTGACACACAGGAAGAGCATTACATGTGTGTTAAATATGTAGCATAAAAATTTAAATCCAAGCTATCACGAGGTTGGCCTGGGTGACCTGGGTGTTCTGATTCACCAGCCTCCGTGTTCCATCCCCATGGACTTGCCTGGCTCACATCCACCTCCGGGCTGTGGCCCGAGTCACTCCTCAAGCCTGGCACATCCTCCCCTTCTCTAAGGCCTGCACTGTCCAGGTACAGTCCTCCTTCCCTGTTGAGGCCCTGGGTGACCCATCTCCTCTGTGCCCCAGGGAGGCTGGTAGGAGGACCAGACCCTCACTGCTAGCCACCCCATCCCATGGATCAGCAGGAGCAGCAACAGCAACAAGATTTATCCAGCGCCCTGCCTCACACCAGGCCCAGGCCAGCACTTCACACCCCGTCGAGTTTAGCCCTTGGTCCAGGCGCCCTGCAAGGTGCTGTCCCTTGGCAGAGATATTGGTCCAGAGAAGCTGCCACTCACAGTCAGAGTGTCTGTCTGACTCGGGAGCCTGCCCTGACCCCATCCCCTCGGCCTGTGCACTCCCCACCCCACTGGCACAGAGCACTTCCTTCTCACACCCTGAGCCTGTCCCAGGCACACAGCAAAGACGTGCAGCTCAGTCTCCAGGGCGTGTGTGGCCGTCACAGACAAGCTGCAGAAACCAAGGCCATCACGCAGGATCAGAGAGCTGCTCCTCTCCCGGTAAGTAGATATAATATTCGAGGGGAGAAAATAAGTGCCAGATAACCATCTCTAGGAACACCTGTGTTTCTCCCTGCCCAGCGCTATCTACGGGCCCCCAAGACAGTCACCCTCTCAGCCCCCTGCCCATCACCTGGCCCCAGCCCAGCTCTCCAGGCTCATCTCTGCCCCCTTCCTGCTGATGACACTCATTGAGCACCGCAGGTTCATGGGGCACCCCCTCTCTGGAGGCGCTGTGCTAGGAGCTTTCACGTGTGACCCACTGTGATCCTACAACCACCACGAGATGGCAGGTACCAGCACATCTCTAAGAGGTGGAGGGGCCACCTCAGACAAGGGGTGCACTCAGAATCTGAACCAGGGGCCGGCCCGGTGGCGCAGCGGTTAAGTGCACACGCTCCACTTCCGTGGCCTGGGGTTTGCAGGTTCGGATCCCAGGCGCGCACCAATGCACCGCATGTCAAGCCATGCTGTGGCGGCGTCCCATATAAAGCGGAGGAAGATGGGCACTGATGTTAGCCCAGGGCCAGTCTTCCTCAGCAAAAAGAGGAGGATTGGCTTGGATGTTAGTTCAGGGTTGGTCTTCCTCACAAAAAAAAAAAAAAAAAGGATCTGAACCAAATACGCCCAGCTGCAGGGCCCAAGTTTTTTGAACCCTGGCGGGCAGAACTGGTCCTGCGGTCTAGGCCGTGTATTCCCTCTCCTGCCTCTAGGCCTTTGTTCAAGCTGTCCCCCTGGCTAAAGTGCCGCTCCCTCCTCACCACCTGTCTGAATCCTGCCCCCCTGGCTCTGTGAAGTCCTCTCCAAGCAAGGCCGCCTCAGGCTCTGTCTGTTCCTAGAACTCACAGCCCTCCTTGCATCTTGCTCTCCACGCTGCCAAGAGGCAGCTCTGGCACAGACCCTGTGCCTGCAGGGCCTCTGCCTGTTTCCCAGGTCAGGAGGAGCTCCCTGTGGGCACAGCTCGTGCAGTCTCCACTACTAGGCTCACATGTGCAATGACTGAATGAACAGTACTCCCGTGCCGGGATATTCAACAAATATCTTTTGAGCAGTTGCTGTGCCTGCCCAGTGCAGCTCTACTGGCTGTGACGGGCAGTTGATACATCGCACACTCACTCACTGGCCTGCAAGGATCCTGGAGGCAGGCTCCCCATCCCTGACCCCTGGAAGAGCCTTGTGAGCTGGGCTGGAAAGGGAAGGGGAGCGAGCACCAACCCTGCCTCGGGCACCATGCTGGCTTCCCAGGCCTGCTCTCATTTCATCCACGCAACTACCCTAGGAACCAAGCACAATTATCACCATGGTACAGAGGGAAACCCAGGGCTCAGAGAGACGAAGTCCCTTCCAGTAGGTCATGCCCCCAGCGAGCGGAGACCAGGCCCGTCTACTCCAAAGTGGCGCCACATGGAGGCACAGAACAGAGGAACCCACAGTCCCTGCTCTCGAATGAGCTCATCGCAGAGCCGAGGAGATACACACACACACACACACACACACACACCCCCGTCTGGTGCTTGAGTAGATAGAGGTGAGAACAGGCAGGTTGAACAGGCTGTGGAGAAGCCTGAATGCCAGGCTACAGTATCCAGACATCGATTAGTAACATTACTTTTAAACCTATACTTGAAAACAGATACTTTAGTTAACAACCGCTGAGGGTTTCTATGCTGGGGAGAGACCCATGAGGCCAGGCTGACAGAGTTCACCTTGCAGCAGTGCTGGGGGACAGGAAGGGGAGGCCAGCCACGACCTGGACAAGTGGGATGTAGCCTGAACCAGGGCAATCACTGCGGGAAGGGAAGGAAGGATGGGCACACCCCATCACAAACCCAGCCAGGGTCACCCCAGAGTTGCCCTATAATGCACAATCATGCCTCTATCAGCAGAACATGAAAGGGAACCACAGTTTCTCAGGCCCCAGGAATGAGGCAGGAGCCCCTGAGATCCAGCAACTCTGTATAAGATCTGTCTGGTTAATTCCCTGCCTCCCCATCACCACTGGCAGGAGGGAAGAGGAGCCCTGCACAGTCCCCTCCAGCCGCCCTGGCCTCCTGGCTGTTCTTCCCACACACCGGACACACTCTTGCGTTAGGGCCTTTGCACTGGCTATTCCCTCTGCCGGGTCCCCCAGACCTCCTCATGGCTCATCCCTCATCTCCTTCAGGTCTTTGCTCAAGTGTCTCCCTCTTCCCAAGGCCTTTCCTGATCACTGTTAAGACTGCAACCCTTGGGCCGGCCCCGTGGCTTAGCGGTTAACTGCGCGCTCTCCGCAACTGGTGGCCCAGGTTCGTATCCTGGGCGCACACCGACGCACCGCTTCTCTGGCCATGCTGAGGCTGCATCCCACATACAGCAACTAGAAGGATGTGCAACTATGACATACAACTATCTACTGGGGCTTTGGGGGAAAAAAAAAAAGGAGGAGGATTGGCAATAGATGTTAGCTCAGAGCCGGTCTTCCTCAGCAAAAAGAGGAAGATTAGCATGGATGTTAGCTCAGGGCTGATCTTCCTCACAAAAAAAAAAAAAAAGTCTGTGTGTGGTGTGTTATAAAAACAAACAAACTGAATAACACAAGATGCGATCCATCAATTAGACTGTAAGATCTATGAGGGTGGGGCTCTTTGGCTGTTTCTCCCTCTGCTGTACCCCCAGTGCCGAGATCAATTCTATGCTGTGCACGTAGAAACACTAGATAAATACTTTCTGAATTAATAAATAGAATCAATGCTATCCCCCTTCAATGCCTTCCCAACACTCTTATGATGAAGACCCAGCTCCTCACCAGGGACTAGGTGGTCTGGCTTCTGTCTACTGTTCCAGCCCCACAGGAGCCCTACCTCCCCTCCACTTGGTACCTTCCACACTGAGTTCCTCCCAGCCTCAGGGCCCTTGCACATACCTTCCCCTCTGTCTAGAGTGCTGTTTTACCTACACACCCTGCTCCTGCCTACTCCTCAACCTTGGGGTCTCAGCTTAAAGGTCACTGATGCCCAGTCTAAATCAGGCCTCCCAGGTCCAATGGCCCATGACTCCCCACACTCTGCCTTTACAGCTCTCATCTGATCATGGAAACGATCAGGCTAATGTCCATCTGCCGTGGATCGTGAGCTCTTTGAGGGCAGGGACTATGTTTGTTTTTTTCACCACATACCCAGCCCAAGCTCAGTGCCTCGCAAATACTGGGTGAACTCAGACTAGTCCCCTGACTCCTTAGGCCTCGGTTTCTCCTTGGTAATACGGGGTAAAGAGTACCTCCCTCCAGGCACTGGTGTGAGATTATTTGTGATGTTCATTCATTCATTCACTGCTACGGTCTGAACGTTTGTCCCCCAAATTCCTATATGGAAATCCTAACCCCCAGGGTCTGGCATTAGGAGGTGGGACCTTTGGGAGGTGATTAGGTCATGAGGATGGAGCCCTCACAAATGGGATTGGTGCCCTTACAAAAGAGACCCCAGAGAGATCCCTGGCTCCTTCTGCCTGGTGAGGTTACACCTAGAAGGCGCCATCTATGAACAAGGAAGCAGGTCCTCACCAGATGCTGCATCTGCCAGCACCTTGATCTTGGACTTCCCAGGATCCAGAACTGTGAGGAATAAATTTCTGTTGTTTGTAAGCCACCTAGTCTATGCCATTTTGTTATAGCAGCCCAAACAGACTAGGACATGTCAGCAGCCTGGGAGGTCCCCAGGCGCAAGGACATGCCTGTGTCAGCTCTGGCCCAGAGCCCAGCCCAAGGCCAAGAAGGGGTTCCCTGGGGGTCTGTTGAGTGAATGGATGAAAGTGCTGTAACACTCTGGAGGGAGGGAGGCCCGCTGCTGCCTCGCTGTGTGACACAAGCCACGTCCCCTCCTCACTCTGTGCCTCAGTCTCCCCTTATGTACAATGAGGAGACAGGACACCAGGCTCCATCAGCACTCTTACAGCCTGTCCCTCATCTTCCAAAAAGCCTCCAGGTCCACCTGAGCAGCTCCTGTGTGGTGAGCAGTGGGGGCATCTGATGCGTGTGCTGGGCGCTGCCACCATCCCCAGGACAAGGCCTGGGTGGTCTCGTCCAATGGCCTTTCTTTCTCCTTCCTTACCCCCCACCCTGCCTGCTGCCATTGTTTTCTTTCTCAGGGGTCTGTGAGGGCGGCTACCCCTGACGGTTCCTCTGCAGTGACCACTCCCACCACCAGCAGCCACGGCCCGTCCCCACACTCTGCCCCTGTGGTCACAGGAAGTGCTGTGCGTCCCAGAGCTGTCCTCATGAGCCTGGCCCAGGTCCAGGCTGTCAGTCATCCCCTCTTCCCAGGGCAGATGTCTGGCTCACAGCAGTGGGGACATGGAAAGATTGAGCCCAACTCCTCAGTCTGATGCCCTTAGACCCACTTCTTTAGGTCATTTATACCCCAGAGAGTGAATCCAAAGCTCTCACGACAGATGAACCAAGACAGGTTGCTCCTGGGGGCGGGGAGGGAGGCTTGGGTTCTGGCTTCCGTCCTACCTGATCTGCCACACCAGCTGCAGTGCCGTTACTGAGCAGAGAAAAGGTTTCCAATTCCTGCCAGAGATTGGAGAGAGGTGGGAAGAGATGAAGATTCTGGAAAGATGCTCTGGGTCCCATCAGCCAGGGCAGCAGAGGGGCCCCAACACAGGCAGCTGGGGTCTGTGGGGCCCTCTGAGGCTCCCTGCCCCAGGCCTGCCGGGATCACTCGCTCTGTCTCTCTGGGTCAGATTTGGGGGTTCTCTTCCTGCAACCACGACCTTGGGCAGAGGACTTCCACGCACACACTCCTCCTGTGTGCTAGGCACTGTGCCAGCCGCTGTCTCAAACATCTTCTCATTTTGATCCTCCCATGAACCCTCTGGGGTGGCATAATTATCCCCATGTTCCAGATGTGGAAACCAAGGTGGAGAGAGAAGAACTGACTTGTTCAAGGTCACGGTAGGGACTTTACAGCCATACGCTTTCTTACGTGTGGCTTCCTGACACACAGTAGGTGCCAAACGAATATATGTGGATCTGAATAAGCCAAACAGATACCAACATTTCAAATATGCATCACACAGGGGTTATTTGAGAACACAAGGCTGGAGGACACCCGTGTCAACTCAGGCCATCTCTGGGATGTTGAAGTTGGCAGGGGAGGGAGAGGGTTTTAACAGCTGGTGTCTAAGGTGAGCTGGAAGCTTTGGCTGTTCTTTCCTTTTCCAAAAGGTTCTGGAAGTCGTTCCAGGGCTTTCAGCCAACAGGGAGGGAAGATCATCTGTCGTCACTGCCCTCTGTCCTGGCCTGGCCCTGGCCACCCTCACCCACTTCTCCCAAAGTCACCTGGTCCCCCTCTTCAGCTCTCCCCATCTCCACCCCCGCCCACTCCCCAGCGCCCAGAGACCACCTACCTGGGGCCTCTTATATGCCTTCCGAACTCGCAGCCCAAGCTTCTGAGCCAGCTCCTGACCAAGTTGAGTTACACTTTCATCCTGGGAAGGGAAGACACAGGGTGGAGTGGGTTAGTCTGCCCCGGCACACGAAGCTGTGCTCCTGAGACCTCGTGCAGCCCTGCAAGGGGGCTGCTGTTACCCTGTGTGACAGACAAGGAAGCAAGGCCTGGGAGGGGACACTGGCTGCCCGAGTCACACAGCTAGTGCGTGGTGGGGCTGGGACCAGGAACCCAGGCTTCTGCTTTTCCTCTTACTGTGGGGAGGGGAAAGGAATAATTTTTATTTTTTATTTTAATAATATCTGTGTATTTCCATAATTGAGCAAGTAAAAGAGTCCCTGTAGAGGCTGAAAGCTTACAGAGAAAGCAAGTGCTCCCCTGGAGCACGCCCACCCTCACCCTAAGCTCCTCCCCAGAGGGAGCACGCCCTGTAGGTCTGACCTGTTTCCCTACAGATCTTCTCTAGAAATTTACATACACGCATACGGAACTATAAAGGATGCTTAGTTTTGCTTTGTGGGATTTTCTTTCTTTTTTTACATAAGTGGGATCATATTATACTTACAGTTCTTATTGCTTCTTTCACCAAACAATGTCTTGGAACTCTTTGCAAATGAGGACACAAGGATCGTGCACAGGGCCCAAGAGCGAGGACGTGTGAAGCTTCAAACGTGCCTGGCTCCACTTAGTGCTCAGTAACAGCACCAGCATCCCTTCCTCCCTCCAAGACTGTATTACTGTACGTGTGCTACGTGCCAGGCACAAGCTAGGGGCCAGGGACACCATAGTCACAGGGCAGATGGGGCCAGGCCTCATGGAGGCTCCAGTCCAGTGGGGGAGACCAATCAGTACATAAAGAAACGGTGACTGTGGTCTGGGCCGCAAACAGACAACGGGGATGCTGTGACATCCTGTGCATTTGTCCACCTCCCCACCTCACTGCTGAGCTCCAGGAGCCCGGGGCCGGAGTCCGAGTCATCTACGGTCCCCGTGCCCAGTATGGAGCAGATCTCAGTCAGTATTTGCCCACAAAGACTGGAAAGCGGGGGAATTCCCCAACTCAGAGTCAGAAGTCTTCACGTGGTACTTTCCTCGGCAGAGTTCCCAGCCCTCGCTGGGCCCCAGCTTCCTCCCCTATATAGCAGGGTATAAACCGCCCTGCCTCCAATGAGTGGGTAGCCATGAGACCTGGATGGATGTGGACCTGCTGTGAAGGCAGGAACATGCTGTATGGATCAGGGACTACTGTCATAAGGAAGGCTCTCGATTGTGAACTAAACTGAACTGGAGAAGCAAGAATAATAAACAAAACGTGTAACAACTGTGAACGTTTTCTGAACACTTACTGTGTCTGGCTATTGTGCCGACTGCCTTATATGATTTTCTGATTCCATCCTCAACACAGCCCTATGATGCATTGTATGTTATCATTCCCATTTTACAGGGGTGCATTTTACAGTGGGCCCACCTGGGCCCACTCCTGGGCCAAACCCAGGCCAGCTCTCTGATGCCAACATCCTTGACCACTGTGCACACAGCCTCCCCTCTGCTCGCCCACCCAAATCCTTCTTGCTTCTTCTAGCCCCCCTCAAGCCCCACCTCCTCCAGGGAGCCCTTCAGGATCCTGACCACTTCTGAGCCCTCTCTGCCCTTCCTGGGCAGAATTTACCCTTCTCTGAGCCCTTTCACACCCATATTTCAGGGATAAAGTAGTAAGGGCACTTTATAGACATGAAACTGATGAGCAGAGAGGGGAAATGCTTTGTCCAAGGTCACGTGGGGGGCCAGGGGTAGAGCCAGGCCTAGATCTCAGGGCTGTTTCCATTTGTCTCCTAGTGGACTGTGGATTCCTGAAAGGCACAGATCCGGGCACTAAATACTTGTTAAGTAGATGAATGAATCGGGGGCGGGGGCCAGTTATGTGTGAGCTGGGACAAGCAAGGCTCTCTATGGGTCATTTCCCATTGTCTCTTCCCCACCTAGTGACAGCCTGGACATCAGGACCCTGGCACACATGGCACTCCTTTTAGCCCTCACTGTAACCCCGTACTCTCAGAGTGCAGAGGTTCAGAGTGCCGACACCAGAATTAGACTTCTTGGATTCAAAGCTTAGCTCTGCCGCTAAGTTCCTTTCTCTCTGCGCCTCCCTCTCCTCATCTTTAAAATGGGGATAGGGCCGGCCCCATGGCTTAGTGGTTAAGTGCGCGCACTCCGCTACTGGCGGCCCGGGTTCGGATCTGGGCGCGCACCGACGCACTGCTTCTCCGGCCATGCTGAGGCCACGTCCCACATACAGCAACTAGAAGGATGTGCAACTATGACATACAACTATCTAGTGGGGCTTTGGGGAAGAAAAAAAGGAGGAGGATTGGCAATAGATGTTAGCTCAGAGCCAGTCTTCTTCAGCAAAAAGAGGAGGATTAGCACAGATGTTAGCTCAGGGCTGATCTTCCTCAAAAAAAAAAACAAAACAATAATAATAATAATAATAAAATGGGGATAATAAGAGAATCTACTTCAAAGGGTTGTTGCAAGAGTTACACACACACAATGGGGCCGGCCCCGTGGCTTAGCGGTTAAGTGTGCGCACTCCACTACTGGCAGCCCAGGTTCGGATGCCGGGTGTGCACCGACGCACCACTTCTCCAGCCATGCTGAGGCCACGTCCCACACACAGCAACTAGAAGGATGTGCAACTATGACGTACAACTATCTACTGGGGCTTGGGGTGGGGGGGAGTTTAAAAAAAAAATACACACAATGTATTTTCAGCAACGCCTGGCACACAATCAGAGCTCAGTGTTAATATCAGTATCTGCAACTCCATGTCACACTGAGGCTCAGAGAGACGTGGTGGCTTGGCCCAATGAGGGCCAGATCAGAGGGCCTGGAGCCTGGACTTGGAGCCAGGCCCCTCGGGTGGACACAGAGCCGCACTCACGTGGGGCAGGGCAAGGGAGCACCGGCTGCTGCACTCGTAGGCCTCCTTGTGGCGTCCCAGCTCGTTGAGGGCGCGTGCCTTGCGGAACAGTGCCCGGATGTTCTCGCCGTCCAGGCCCAGCGCCTTCTCGCTGTCCTCCAGCGCCTTTTCATACAGGCCCTGACGGAGAGGAACAGGTGGCTCTCCAGTCAGTGCCTGTTCCCCTCCCTCCCCTAGGCCCCCTGCCCCCACCAAGACTGAAGCTAGCCTCCCTTCCCTGCAGCGATAGAGGATGCTGGAGGACCGGCGTCAGGGAGGAGGCTCGTGAGTCTGGTGTTCAGACTCTGGTCCAGGGCTTCCATGCGTCCAGCTGAAGGGGCTGCCAATGGACACTGGAAGCCACTGGAGGGGAGGCGCCTTCAAATTCTAGAGTGATAAGCCTGGTCACTCAGCACATCTACTTCCATATCTGCCTTTACTTCAGAATATCATGGATTGAGAGTAATAAAGGCACCTCTGAGAAGAAGTGAAATCATGAAGGCAGCTCAGCATACAAAGCAGAGTGTGAACAGGTATCTGGCAGACTTGTTTATCCAGAACAGTCCACTCTGGATTGCAGAGGTGTTACTGGAGCCTCTGCAGAGCCCACAGCAGAGCCTCCCACAGGATCTGGTGAATGACTGAGTCAGGGAGCGAGCAGGACAGGGAAGGGGAGGAGGCTGGAGCTTGAAGGAGGAGAGAAGGCGGAGGTGACTGAAGGCTAGAGAAAGCAGCAGGCGGCTGAGGGTGTAAAAGGAGGGGAGGAGCCCAGGAGGGAGCAGGAGAGGTCAGAGGTTTGCAGAGAGAGGCTATGGATGATGAGGGTAGCAGTTCTCAGCCCTGACTGTCCACAGACTCCTGCCAATGCCGCGCCATACCCAGATTCTGACTGATTCATCTGGGGTAAGACGTAGGCACCAGTAGCATTAAAAAAATTTTTTTTATTAAGTCTTAGTACTTCAAAAGCTCTCCAGGTGAGTCCGTTGTGCAGCTTGGGTTGAGAGCCATGGAAGTGGATGGTGAGATTCAGACAGGAGGTGGTAGAGGAGGCAACCCTGCAGAGGCTCGCTGGGCTACAGGCTTGGCAGCTGGGCACCTGGGGGAAGCGGTGATCAGGGCAGAGGTGGAGGAGTGGAAAGGAGGGCACCGGGCTCACCATGGTGAAGTAGCAGGCAGCCCTGTTGACATGCAGCTTGCACAGCAGCTCCTGGGGCAGAGCCACCTGGTCGGAGGCAGCGTAGTCAGCCACGTTCAGCCCCTCCATGTACTGCACCAGGGCCTGCTTGTAGTCCTTCTCTCGGAACAGGTCATTGCCTTCAGCGAACAGGTTCTGCACCAGCTTGAGCAGAAAGGCCTGCCAGGAGGCAGGAGGCAGAGGGGGCTGAGGGGGCCTTCTCTATCCAGCTCCAGCCCTGGCACCCAGCCCCCGCTCTCCCTTTTCTGGACACCCCTGCCCTTCGCCTTCCCCCAGCCCCGCAGCTGACACTCACCTCATATTCTTCTTGCTTTAGGGGTAGTGTCGACCTAGCAGGAAAAGGAGAGGGATACAAGGTCTGGGTGAACCCAGGGGTCCCTGCCTCATGGAGGCCCCAGGAGCCAGAGCCACAGGCCAGAGATCATGCCAGGAGTGGGCTCCTCCAGCTCAGACTTCAGACGTCACCTTGTGGATCGGGGTGAGGGGACAGTAGTGTTTTCTCCCTAAATCAACACCACACTGGCCTTCCGTTTCTGATGCAAAGGGTGGAGGAAGGCCTTGCGGCTGCCCCAGGGTCTGGCAGCTAGGCTTCCCCAGGTGCAGACGCTGAGAAAGAGCAGACCAGCTCCAGCTCCAGCCAGCTGTCCTCTGCCTAAGAAACCAGGCCCCTGGGAATGACCAGGTACTACCAACCAAACCTGCAACTGCACGCCCACAGGTGGCACCAAAAGTCCACCTTGGGTCGCCATAGCTTGGGAGTCTCTGCCCTTCTTCCGACCCCTCCTGCAAAACACACATGACCCCAGCCAATACCAGGTATACTCAGAGCCTGTCAACCCCTCATGCCAGACTCAACAAATTAGGGGGGTCTTGGGCACCCTCTCCTCTCCTGTGGCCAAAAAAAATGCCAGCTCAGTATGGAAGAAAGTGTCAGCTCAGGAGAACTGAGGCATATCTGTCAGGCTGAATGGCTGAGCTGGAAGGGAAGCTGGGGTTTGTCTCTCAGTCCCTCATGTCACCGAGGGGAAAAGAGACACTCAGAGAAGGGCAGTGGCTTGCCCAGGGTCACACAGCAGGTCATTGTCAGAGCCAGGGCCAGAGTGCAGGCCTGGAGCTCTTTCCGTTGCCCAGAGCCTCCGCTACACCTGGGCAAGAAGGAGCAGCCTGAGTGAGTGAGTGAGAAGAGATGAGAGAGGAGATGCTAGAGATCCCCTGTGTGTGGGCAGGAGGTGGCCCTGACTGTGACACCGGGGCTCACCAGCCCACCCTCCCACTTGCCTCCCCACTGTCAGAGACCAGGGTGCATCCCTCCTTCCCCGCACTGCCCCAGCCCAGGCCCCATCACTGTCCTCCTAACTGGTCTCCTACCTCCAGCCGCTCCCCTCCCAGCAGCAGCTTCATCTTCAATAGGTCACACCCTGTCCTAAAGGTCACCTCATCCTGGTGTTTACGGCCCTTCACAAGGCAGCACCAACCCACCTGTCCAAATCACTTCATGGCTCCTACAGTGCTCTGTGCCCAGAGGTGCCTAATAAATGTCTGCTAAGCACATCAAGTATGCACATGAGAAAACAGCAGTTTTGTAAGGAGGTCCTACCGTGTTATCCTGCAAAGCGGTCCTTTAGGAGGCCAACATACAGGTTCCCAGGAGGCTGTCCTATTGCTAAACCTTCTCAGAAGTCCCCTTTGGAAAGGGGAAGGGAGGACACAGAGCTAACATGCACCCCAATCACTACCCTGGCCCGGGCCTGTTAACCCTCACAATGTCTCTGTGAGGGAAGTGGCATTATCTCCATTTCACAGGCACAGAGACCACCCAGGAAGTGGGGGAGCCAGCATGGGGATCAGGTCTGCAGGGCTCAGAGGTCCAGCTCCACAGAAATCAGTGACTTAATTGAAACGCAGAATTCTTATGCAAGACAGTGTTCTCCAGGTTCACCTTGTTCACCAGACAGGCCTCTGAATAAAATATGAGCACTTCCCCAAGATCAAACCCCTCCCCCAAATGGAAGAAGACTGGCCCCCAGTGAAGAGTGAGGAGGGGGCCACAGCTCTGACGGCCATTCCCGGGCCAGGAAGAGGACTGCGTTCCCAGTTGAGGAAGGAGAGAGAGTGTGCTGTACGAATATAAACTTGAGCTCCGTGAAAGCAATGGGACACTGCGTGTGTGTAAAGGCACCCAGTTTGTGGTGACAATGTGGGTGAGACAAGCAGCTCATGTTTTATAGGTCTGCATGAGAGACCAAAACTGGGGAGCATACGAGGGTATGTAGATGCAAATCCCAGTTTTGTGGGGAATCCTATTTAAGAAAAAGAGCACAAAATGAGAAACACAGAATTGCTAGGGAGGCTTCTAGGGCTTCGGAAGGGCAAGTGAGGGGCCCTGAAGCTTACACTTCATTAATGTCATGATAAATACGCCTCTGAGGATCTATTTAAGAGACATAAAAGAAAAAAGTTAGTAAAAATATTTTGTGTGCAAAGAAGAAAATGAAAAGACGAACATGCATGTGGGTACCAGGGGGCACACAATGGAAAGAAATGTAGGTTCTGGAGTCAGGCAGACCTGGGTTAAAACCCTATCACTTAATAGCTGACTTTAAACAAGTTTCCGAATCTCTCTGAACCTCAGCTTTCTCAACTGTGAGATGGAGATAAGACCACTACTTTACTGGGCTGTTGTGAAGATTAAAAAGACGATGGATGTGGGGCCAGGCTGGTGGCGTAGTGGTTAATCACATGCTCTGCTTCAGCGGTCCAGGGTTTGCGGGTTTGGATCCCAGGTGCGGACCTAGGCACTGCTCATCAGGCCATGCTGTGGCAGCATCCCATATATAAAAGTGGAGGAAGATGGGCAGAGATGTTAGCTCAGGGCCAATCTTCCTCACACACACACAAAAAAAAAGATGATGGGTGTGAAGGGCCCAGTACAGAGACTGAAAGATGTGCTCAATGAGCAAGGACTACTGATTTATTATAAGATGTGCACAGACAAGCAAGAGAATTACCAGGGAGCGTATGAGCAAACGTGGCGGGTGAGGGTAAAATGCTACACTGGACAAGACGGAAGGGCAACCAGGCTCAGGGAGTGTGTGTGCATGTGGGGTTCACGGCTTACGTGTGGGGTTCACAGATCCACCCCCTTGGCCCCTGCTATGCCAGCTCCTTCCCACCTCCTCAGTCCCCAACACACGCCTGAACAGCAAAGGCTCAGGAAGCAAGAAAAGGGAGAGCTGGAGAGAGCCCATGCGCTTCGGGCGGAGGACCCACCCCCGCCCGGCCAGCCCTACCACACACTCACTGAATGAACTGCAGCCCCTTCTCGATGTCCGCCTTCCGTCTCTGCCTCTCCATCAGTCTCTGGGGGCGAGAACACAGCTCATCAGTCAGGTAGCAGGGGCCAGTCACCGTCCACTCCCCCCACCCCCCATTCCACCATGTGCTCTCTCACTCCCGCTCTCAACCCATTTATCCGGGGCAGAAGGGAGTCACTGAGGACAGTGAACTGTCTCAGGGTCTACAAAGACCGTCAGAACCATGCCACGTGCTCCTGCCCTCCATGCCACGTCCCACTGGACTCCGAGTTTGTACAGTGCCCTTGATGGGCAAGGGACTGCATGGGGGCCCCCTGCCCTTTCGTACACATCGCTTGGGTTGCGATACTGCACAGGACACCCTCAAGTTCAAGGAAAAGACCTTGTTTTACCACCAAACTCAGTCCGGGAAAAGAGCTACAGAAAATGCAAAATGATGCCAATGATGATGGCTACAATGTAGCACCAGGCACCGGGCCAGGCACTTTGTATAAGCATCTTACTGCATCTTTCAGCAATGCCACGGGGCAGGTGTCATTTTTTCCCCATTTTACCCAGGAGGAAACTGAAGCTCTGAGAGCACCATCAGATTTGAACCCAGGGCATGCTCCTTTCATACCCCTCAGCTACCCCCCGACTGAGGCTCAGTGAGGCTAAGTACTGGCCTGAAGTTGCACAGCAAGTGACTGGTAATGAAAGCGTGCAGGGGACCTGCTCGAGAGACGAAGGGAGTGAAAGCTGAAGGTGAGGGTGCTTAAGGAGAAGGGAGGATCCGGCAGAGCCGTTAGGGGTCTGGTACCTCTAGGGTAAGCCCCCCGCTGGCTGGGAGCTCATGGCCAGATCCAAACAGCCCCCCTGGCTTCCCCTCCATGCCACCACACACGGACTGGAAGGCCCACTGCACGTCAGCTTGTCCTACCAGTTAGCAGCCCAGGGCCTTTCCCTGGGTCAGAACCGAGCCTGGGGCTGAGCACTGTCTGTCCTGGCCATTCATGAGCCCTTTCCAGCCTCTGCCCTGCAGTGTGGCCCCCATTCCCTTCCCATCAAATGATTACTGCGAGAGGACTGTGGGCAAGGCCCAGAAGGTGGGACGGCCCCTGCCTGGGGCTGCAGGACAGGCCCTCCTGCCTTGTACTCGGCTCCCACACAGCATCAGCAGACGGCTGGGACGTGGACACAGGGAGTGGATCCTCACTGCCTTGCTGGCACCAAGAAGTAAAAAGGTGTAAAAAACACTCAACTACTTTGGGAAGGGAGCAAGTGTACAAAATTCATACCTTCTAAAAATTCTTTACTTTCTTGTTCTTTACTTCCATCTGTGCCCAAGCACCTTATCCTCACAACGACCTTGTAAAGTAAGTGGGGCAGGGGTCACTAACTCCACTGTGCACATGAGGAAAGTGAGGCACAAAGATGTGAAGTCTCTTTCCCAAGGTCACTGACCAGTGAGTGGGCAAGCAGGGTTGGAACCCAGCTCTGTCAGACCAAAGGCCAGGTCCTTTGTCACCCGCTGAGCTGTGAGACGCCCTGTGGCCGGGGCAGGCCGCTTTGCACCTCACTTTCCTCATTTGTGCAGCATGTCAACTAACTAGCCTCCCCTGGCAAGGTGGCTGGGCGGCTCCAAGGAGATAAGAGCGTGGGGGCAAGGAGCTCAGTTCACGGGACTCTCCCTCCTCTCGCTTGTCCTTCCCAGGGGGGCGAGGCCACACCGAGTCTTCAGGCTCCCAGAACAGTGCTCTTCATGCCAAATCCTCACCTCGAGCAGGGCCATTGACAAGTGTCGACTACATGTCTGCTCGCCCTGCCAGGGCCTTGGGTCTGGGCTCTGCACTCAGACAGACCTGGGTGCGAATGCCAGCATTTGCTGTGTGACTTTGGGCCTTGGTCTCCTGATGGGGAAAACAGGGCTGATGGCAGGTCTTGCCACATTGACTGTCATGAGGGTTCAGGAGACGACATGCACAGAGCACCTGGCGTAGAGCAACAGTCCAACAACCTGGAAATAGTATCATCCAAACACTGCTGTTCCCTCTTGAAAAAAACTCTGCAAGTGTTTCCTGGGGTGGACACGACTGCTATGATCTGCTCCCCCCCAGTATGCAGGCAGTGACGGCCCGGGGCCGCCTGCACCTTGCCGAGCAGGCCTCTTGGTGGGTCTCTCCGTCCTCAGCTTCCCTGTCTGAGAAACAAGCTCTCATCATCCTCACGCCCACCCTACTCCAGGCCTCCAGCCAGAACAGGCTGCTGGGTGATTCCTGCCTCCTGGCCTTTGCCCTCTGGTTCCTTCTACCTATGCAGCCACACTCTTCTCCCTTCCTGCGAACGAAACTCCACCCCTCCTTCAAAGCCGAGCTCCTCTACGGAGCCGCTCCAGACCCCTTCAACAAGACCACCATGCACTCAGTCATCCCGTCTCCCGGGAGCCACAGATGGGTCAGACCCAGTCCCTGCCCTGGAAGAGAGGATCATCTGGAGGGGAGGCAAGGGTGCGCCAACCCCCACAGTGTGGCCCAACGCTGGCAGGGGAGCTGTGGGAAGGCAGAAGGCCCCCACGCGCCTGGACAGCCAGCACCACAGGGCATGGCCCCGGTCATGGCCACCGAGCCCTGCCACTTCTACCTGAGTCACAATCCGGTCTCCGCTCCTCCCCACTGCTGGGGTGTTTCCTGCCCCCAGAAGAGTGGACCAGCTTCCTCATGCCCCCCCACCTCCTTGAGGCCATCACGGGGGTCTTTCAAACCCACAAATTGGACCCTGTCCTCCCCTGCACAGAGCCTCTGATGACTCTCTTTACCTTCGGCTGATCACAATTGCCCCACACCAGCTCACGCCACATGGGAGCCACTGCCCTGTCACCCTCTCAGAGCCCTGCTCAGGCCATAGTTCTCTCAGAAAACCACAGCGGTCAGAGGGGAACGTTTCAGTCAGCTCTCAGCCCTGATGTCTGAGCAGACTTAACAGAAACAAACATGGCCATAACCATCCCAAGGGGTCACGCCCAAGAAGGCTGAATCCACTGCCAAGGAAGAAAGATTCTCTCTCCAGGCGGTATGAAGGCTCCTCACACAGCCCGGCGAGAAGCCACCTCTCCGAGCACCAAACACCCAAAGCAGCAGGGTGGCCGTGCGCATGGGCTCTGGAGAAGGTTCGAACCCTGAGCAGGTTACTCTGCCTCCCTAAGGTGCAGTTTCCTGTTGTGCACACAGAGATTACAGATAGCGCCCACAGACAGGATTAATACATAGGAGGCACTCATTTGAGGGCTGGTACATAGCAGGTGTACCTGACAAATGGTGGCTATCACATCAGAATTCCTATGCTGGGCATTCAAGACATGTGCCATAAGCGCATTATATGCAGATGAGAAGGCCAGGGTGCCCACCCCACCCATGCCTCACACCTGGTTAGAGACATGGAAAGATATCCCAGAGGCTCCATCCCAAACCAGAGTTCTGTGGTGAACACAGGTGGGGTGAGGCACAAAGAGGGTGGAAGCTCCTCGAAGGGGGCGACATTTGAATTGAGCTTTGAAGGTTGAGTAGGAGATGGCTCCTCGGTGTCAGGAAGAGGAGGCCTTCTGGCGGGCTGCACGTGATGGTTTATGAAATCACTGTCATCCCCCACAGTTTATCCACTCCTGACTGATGACCCCAGGGGCTGGGCTGTGCTGGGACCGCATTCGAGACAGGAGGTAAGTGAGGCTCCGAGAGGTCACAAGGCCTGCAGCCAGCAAGTGGGGGCCAGGCCTGGAACTACTGACCAGGTCAGTAAAGAGCTGCTGCTCTCCCCGGTCAAAGGCGTGGTTGAGGCGGAACCAGCCGGCACCTGTGTGCACCCAGGCACCTGAGCTGAGCTTGGTGTCCGCAAATGCTTGTGCCCCAGAGAGGGCAGATGTCCCTGTGGGGTGATTTGGGAGAAGGCTCCTGTACAAAAGTACTATGCTTCTCCTAATTTCCTGCCCCAGGGTCTATATATTGACCACTCTAGAGTCATTCCATTGAATGTAAAGGCCCCAGGCCAGAGCTGGCAAATAGATTTCATCTCACACAGCAACACTGGAGGCAGATGGGGGCTGGTCAGGGCCATCCTGAGGAGCTGAGCACTAGAGGGGCTTTAAAGAAAGAGTGCCCCCATATGTGAGGTCGGCCATGAACAAGGGGTGTCCAGTGGTGGCACAGATGCCTTGGGCCTTCAGACCCCCTTCCCACCCCCTTGAGAGTAAACTATTGCTAAAATTCATGGTAATACAAAGTAACACCAAGTCAGAGGCCCAGGTCTTACTGGGGCCCAGGATGCAGGCCCCTCCTTTGGCAAGATTTTCTGACTCCCTCAAACCACACTGGTGAGTTAGTCTCCTCTGTGCCAAGTGCAAAGACAGACCTGGACAGGGAGGATTTAATTCAGCTCAACCAACATTTATGACCTTCCTGCTTGGTGCCAGGCTGGGCATGGGGGCGGGGGAAGATACAGAATAGAGCACTCAGGCCTGGCCCTGCCCTCCTAGAACTCCTGGTCCAGAGGGAGGGAAAGACAGGTGAGCTGACAGGAGCCACCCGCTGCAGTGCAGGCTAGCTGTGGGTGCAAGGCGCCTGGGAATCAAGAGGAAGGAGAGGGGCATCCACGGGAGGAGGCCAGGGAAGGATCTGCAGGAGGTGGTCCTTGGGCTGGATGTGAAGGAGAAGGACCAGTTTCTTGGGTAGATTGGGAGAAGAGGGACATTCCTGACAGGACACCTGCCCAAAAGCATGTGCACTGAGCCTGGTCTGTACCCCTTAATTTCCTGTGGCACCCCACAATCTGCACAGCCATGAGGATGGGAAGCCCAGGCCCACCCTCCTCTAGGGCTGCAAACAGGGGTCGGCCAGTAGGCCTGGCCCTCAACTAGCAGAAAGCCAGAGGGTCAGGTGGCAGTAGGGGAAGGAAACCCACATTTCCTGGGCGCCTGCCATGCACCAGGTACCGTGCTCATCTACCCCCAATTGAGGGGCCTTTTGCTGGCAACTCCAGTGGTCCCTGCTGAGGACAGGAGTGGCAGAGACCACTCCC